CCCCAGAACCCCCCCCAGGCTCCTCACAATCCTCCCAGGCCCCACCCTCAGGGCTCCTCAGAACTGCCCCACACATGGGGCCTCCCCACAGCCCAGCCCCCTTGGGTGCTACTCATACACCTGGCTTGTAAGGAGGTTCCTGGGTCCCCAGCGAGGTGGGTTCCTGGGAGGACAGGTCCCCCAGGCTTGGGGACCCCCCCACTCACGATAGCGGGGGAGGGGCAGGTACCCCCCCAAACACACTCACCGTAGTGGGCGTCAGGGAGGCCGGATACAGGCTCTGGCATGTTGACATACTCCAGGCTGTCAGCTGTGGGGAGCGATCAGGGGCAGTGAGCCACGGGGGGTGCAGGGGGACCCCCGACTGGGGATGGAGGAACTGCTCCAGGGGATCCCCGTGCACTGGCCCCTGGGGGGTTCAGTCCCCACTACCCTCCCCCCCATGCACTGGGATCCTGACCTGGCCCCTGGGGATCCCGGGGGGCGGGGGGGGTTCAGTCTCATCTCCTCCCCCCAACCCCTACCCTGCTGCTCCTCCCCATGGGCCCTGCCCGGGAATCGCTCTCTTCCCCCCGTCAGCCCCAGTTCCAGGATCCCCCCTCCCTGAGCTGGGCCAGGCACAGACAGATGGGGCCAGGGGTCCCGCACTCACCCAGCGACTCCCTCTGGGCCTCCGGCATGTTCTCGTACTCATCCCCCATTCCCACTGCCAGAGAGCGAGAGAAGGGGTCAGTGAAGGGGGAGGGCCTGCCCTCCAACCTCTCCCCACAGCAGGGACCTGGGAACCCCACAGGCCCCACTCCCCAGGCTCCAATCTGGGACCCACCCAGAGATGTTCGGGTCGCCCCTCTCCCTATAGATTACACCTGGATCCCAATACAGCTGGGTGACTGGGGGCCGGGGACACACCCAAATGCGGCGCGAAGGATGAGATAGTGACCAGGGCAAGAAGGGGTCAGTTGGCTGTTCCCCCCCAGTGCAATGCCAGGGGGCAGAGAGAGGTTAATGCTGATTGCAGGGGACAGTGGAACTGCCTGACACTACATCCACTCAGAAATGGTCCCGGGACAGTATGGGCCCAAGCCAAGGCTGGGGGACAGGTACCCAGAATGGCCGTCTGCGGGGTCTCTGCTCCGGCCTTGTGGGAGATGGGTGGGCTGGGCGGTGGCCCCAACTCACCTGAGGACGCGCTGTCCCTGAGCTCTGGCCCCGAGGTGACCAGCTCCGTGGGGGACGTCTCGGTGACGCTGTCGGGAAGCACCTCACTGCAGGGGGTGGAATGGGAAGGGTGAGACTGGCCAGCCAGAGCATGCACCACACTCCTGCCTCTGACCCTGCCCCGACCCCCCCCATAGCAATGACCCCTGTAACACCCTGACACCCCCATATTCACCACTGTCATGTCACTAGGGTAGGTTTGTACAAAGTTGCCTTGTGAGGTGTCATTCTAAAAGTCCTGATCTGCTAGATATTAATATTTCGTTAGATTGCATGTGCTATCGATGTATGTGAAGTTATGAAGTTTGGCTGTGTATGTGTTACTGAAACACGTTGTGAGGTTGAGAACACCCACAAGCCGCCTTTCAGTTACAACAACGTTAATGGCTTGTTGAGGAAATGCACAAGCACAAGGATCACCCCAGGAACTGCGTACAATAGAATCACAGAAGATCATGGTTGGAAGGGACCTCAGGAGGTATCTAGTCCAACCCCCTGCTCAAAGCAGGACCAACCCCAACTAAATCATCCCAGCCAGGGCTTTGTCAAGCCGGGCCTTAAAACCCTCTCAGCGACAGCACCACACAATGGGGACTGTCTGACCCAGGCCACAGCAAAAGAGCTTTCCAGCAAGTGGGGAGAAGATAGAAAAGTGGGAAATGACATCCTGGGGGGACCTCACCACCCCCCCCCCAACGACACACCTGGAAACACCTGAGGGGCAAGGACTGAACGGTGGGAAGTGATGGGCCCAGGCTAGAGGGATCTTTAGCCCGTGAATGAAAACCTGGGAAAGCCAGGGCAGCTTGTGCCTTAAGAGTCTGCCCGGCTGGTTATCACTCAGGGTGAGAATTGACTCATTTATATCCCACCTATCTCGTGGGTGAAGCTCCGTTTGCGGTTTTACAAAGGTCATCTGCCTTGATCTGTGTGCTCTCCCTTATAATCACTTCACATCTATCCTTTGTGGTGAATAAACTTGTTTTGTTTTCTCTAAACCAGTTTGTGGGATTCATAGCTGGGGGCAGAAACCTGCGCAGATCTTCCTCCACCCTGAGGAGGGGGCGGATTTCAGGAGCTCGCGCTCTGCAGGTCTCGGGGCAGCGCCAGACGATACACTTTGGGGTTTACTCTCCAGAGGGGGTTTGCACTTGAGTGCTGGGCAATCTCCGTGTCTGTGTCTGGCCCTACCTGTGTGTGGGCTGGAGGCGGCTTGAGGGCCTGGCTCAGCAGGGCAGGGTGAGGGAGCCCAGGCGGGTGGGACCCCAGTACATCAGGTGGCTCCCCGGAAGGGGGGGCAACCTGTCAACTCCCATCCATGACCTTTGACCCCCCAGGCTTGGACCCAGTGTCACGCCCAGTCCTGCCACCCCATGGGCTGTCCCCCCAGGCCTCCCCGGCCCATCCCCCCCCCCCAGTCCGTCTCCCCCCTCTCATCTCCCTGCCCATCTTCCCCCAACAGCTCCCCCCCGCAGCCCGTACACGTAGCCGGGGGTGTAGATCTCGTTGTTATAGTCGTTGTCGTCGTCGTCGTCCGCACGGGGTCGCTCTGCAACCGAGACACGGGGGGGGGGGTTAGCATGGGGGGGCACCGGCTGCTCTGACCCCTTCTCTCCCTGCCCCTTCCCCTCCTGCCTGCCCCCCACCACCCCTCCCGCCCCACCCTCTGCCCACCTCATCCCCTCCCACCACCCCATCCCTCGCATCGTCCTGCCCCCCAACCTGGCAGCGGTTCTGACACTGGTCCCTGCCCCCCCCC